TAAGTTTGCTTAGAGCAACTAGGCTGTTGGTAACTGGAAAGTAACTCCAGTGTCTGTTATTTAAATACAAAATGAATGTTATTAATGGAGGTGCATAGAACTCCTCCCTTTCCAGACTCGAAAGACTTCAAGCTCCAATTCCTATTTCTGGAATAGAAGTATAGAGGAAAATGCCTAAGCCACAGGCATTTAAAAGAATTTAATTCTCTTTAACATGGAACAGCTGCTGAGATACATGGCTGTTTTCCTGGGACTTTGGAATATTTATGGGCCTTTCTCTTTTCCTTTTTCACTGGAAGAATGGAGAACATCATTCTTGAGTGTGTTATTTATAATTTCATAAAGCTATTCTAAGCCGGGGGTGGGTGGCACACGCCTTTAATCCCAGCACTCAGGAGGCAGAGGCAGGCAGATCTCTGTGAGTTCGAGACCAGCCTGATCTACAAGAGCTAGTTCTAGGATAGGCTCCAAAGCCACAGAGAAACCTTGTCTCAAAAAAAAAGAAAAAGAAAAAGAAACTATTCTGTGGCAGGACCTGTTTTATACTATGCTTAATTCAATCAAATAATCATGCTTCTAATGGGTTGGGAGGAGAAAGTTGGCTGTCCCTTAAATGATTAGCCTAGTGCTGGTGTAAGATAAAGAGCTACAATTTAGAATTTTAAGTCGCAAAATACCGTTGGACAGTCTCGAGAGGTTACATGGTGAGAAGATGATCATGGATCATCTTGATTATAACATTAGACACTTCTTGGTCTAACAAATTGTCAATGATAATAGAGAATGGTATCAATATGTCCCTACACTGAGATGGAACAGGGCCTTGCAGAATAAATAATTAGGCATAGGTGATTATAGAAACAATAACTCACGGAAGTAAAATGAGAAGTCAGGTTTAGGAAACTGAGAGAAGTGGAAGGTAAACACATCTATAAATTTACCTTGGTAGACCTTTGGGCTTTCTTCAATCCCAATTTTATTCTAGGATAACTTTAATAAGCACTGGTAGAGAAAATATGTAAGCGCATTAAAAAACTTTATGGAACGGAATAAAGAAGGTCCTTGCCAGAGACGTATTTTATTGAAAGTTATTACAATACGCATCTTTAGTTTTATGAAATCTAGTACAGAAGTGATTAATTACAATATGTGATTTAAACATTTATTTTAAAATAGAGTAATGGGAATTACTATTTTTGAGCAGAACATGGTTAATATATAAGGGCAAAGGAATATTTACTCCTTTAGAGAAAGGGGAGTATGATATTTAATCTACACCAGCAGAGCTGTGGCTGTCGTTCCCCGAGACCTAGATGTAAAATCAAAGATGTCAACTTCCAAAAAAATGGATGAGTGATACTGATGAGATATAGGGAGGGGAAGGAGAGGAGTTTGATGGGGCAGAGTATTAAATCCATGCTTTTTAGCTGATCTTTCTGTGGTACAGAGATGATCATTCAAGTTGCTGTCATTTTGTCATTCCAAACCATCTTTTCTTCCCCTACCTACCTATATGCAAATAAATGGAGCTATTTCATACTACTGACCCTTAACAAATACTGTTGATTTTACCTGAAATGCCTTTCTCCGTCTCCAGCCTCCAATACTGGATTTGTACTGTTCCTTTCCCATCTGTCCCTAAGGGCTTGTTTTCTCTTTCCTTTCTGTCTGAAAGATATATCTAGTCTCCTGCTACTTGCTCCCCCGGCGACTTATGTTACCTCTTGTCACAACATGAAGCTTACCATGTTGACTTTGCCTGTTTCCTTAACTGTCTCATCAGAGACTGAATTCCCAGAGCAGACAAGCTACTTCATTTCTCATTTAATCCTTCATCACTGTTACTGTGCCTCATTCATAGATGTACAATAAATACCCAAAGTAACAGATGAATGAAATCATCAATGGGTGAATGAATGAGTTGAGAAATTATCTGGAATAATAATATATAATATATACAGAAATGAGGAACCTGACACTAGCAAAACTACTTAGGTTGTAGAGTTGTGACTATTTTATTCTTCTTGGAACATCATAAACACTATTGGAATTTCACAATACCGGCAGGTTATAAGTACATTATGCTTAGCCACTGGAAAGTATGGTCGATGGTCATTTTATTAGCTGTTTTTCAGTTGCTGTGATAAAATACCACAGCCTAATCAATTTATAGAATAAAGAGTTTAATTTTGGCTTACAGTTACAATAGATAAGAGTACAGAAAAGGCAGAAAATCATGGCATGTAGCAGCCTCTGGAGGCTGGATTTTGTCTGCACCCAGGAAGCAGGGAGAAACCAGGAAGTAAGAAGGGACTGATCATAAAACGTGAAAGCTGTGCTATTCTTTAATCAATATAAGCTTACACCTCCTAAATGTTGTGTACCCTACCGCAAACAGTGCCACCTACTGAGGATAAAACGTTCAAATACAGACACCTACAGGGGAACTCTTTCAAACAACCAAAGTCACTGTGAGAAAACAAAAAATATAAATAACATGGAAGGAAGCTTGGTGGATATCCCCAGATAATTGTGCAAGTAGAAGCATCTCCCACTGCACTATTATTGTCTAAGGAATGTGGATGGTGGGTGGAAACACAGCAGATGTCATCATCACAAATGTCAACTCCCTTGATTATTATGAATCTTCAAAGAGTTTTAACATGTGATAACCACTTAAGATGAAGCCTGGACAGAACAAACTCTAAATACTTAATAGTCATGAGTCTTGAATGTTCAGATGCCTATTTTTTTGTGTGAGTTTTAACTATTCTCCATTGACAAACATTTTTGTGGAATATGATTGTGGTTATGGAAAAATACACCACACAAACACACACACACACATACACACACACACACACACACACACACCCACACACACACACACGGAGGGTTACTGCATTTTATTTAAAGACAGAAGTCCATAGTTCTGCTCTGTACGTATCAACCATGAGACTATATCTAGCTGAATCAGTAAACCATGCCCCACTCTCTTCAGCTAGTTGTTTTCTCTGCTCATGCAGTTAAATGTTTATCCTCATCACTCCCCTTCCCTAAGCAGTGGGAAGTAGACTTGTATTTGGTGTCCTTAGAGGAACATGAATTAAGGAAGTATTATTTTTCTGACACAAGGAATAATTTGTCTGGATACAGGTGCTGGCACAGTGTCATTTAGTAGCATATAATTAGGGAGGGGGTCATTTCAAATTGCTCGTCTTCTACCTTTCAGATGCAAAGGGGATAGAATATGTTCCTCTCAGATTTAGAAGAGAGATCTGCAGTGTGGGGAACTGAGATGTGTGTGTGTGTTTTCCACTGTTGTTCTTTTTTGTTTTTCCTATTTCTGACCATCCTTCAATTGATATGTGTACTTAAAAAGAGGGCACCCTTTGGAAACACTAACCATCTGAGGTGTCATATGGGCTTGTCTGCTAGGGCTGAGGTAACAAAGTACCACAGACTGAAGGGCTCAAACACTAGAAATACTTTCCTGCAGAATTCTGAAGGCTGGTGGTCTGAAGCCAAGGCGTCAGCACAAAGCTGTTCTTGGTGACCTCTCTCCCTGACTTGTAGGTGCCCACCTCTATTCTGCATTTCTAAGGTAGACTCCTCCCTTTCTATGTCCCTGCCCCAAATTCCTCCTTTTAGAGAGACAACAATCCTACTGTATTCAGAGCCATCCTGATAATTTTATTTGGACTGAAGTATCTCATTAAGACCCAATATCCAAATGAAGTCCTGTCCTGAGGTGTGGGGTATCACAATGGAACCGCCCCATCTGTAAGACAGGGGATAGAAAGGACTGTGATGTGCCACAAGCATAGTCATAATGTATCTTGGAAGTCATCACTTTGTGTCTTACTAGCTGTGTGTCCCTCAACAAGTCAGCTAACATCTCTGACCTTTAGTCTTTTTAAACGTAACTTCTCTATCCCAATGGATGATTTGGCCAGTTGTATTTAATGAGAATGCACAAATACCAATCATAGCAATTGGCTTATAATGCTTCTTCAAAAGACAAAGAAGACATTTCGTTATTACCTTTTCTCTTGACTGTAGATCCAGACATCAATGGGTTGGGAATAATAAAGTCAGCAATTCAGTCAATGTTACTGACATTAAAAAAAGAAATGTGCATGTATTAAAAACCTACAATTCACTGGGTATTTTTATATATAAAGACCAAAATATGTTTGCAGTTTAGTGTGTAAGCCATTTAATCCCTCATCATTCTTACACTAGTGTTTGTTACACTTGTAATTTGTGTTATGCACATTACTTATTCTTACCAATTGTGTGCCACGGGTCCACTTTCCAGCCAATGCCCACAGTCCTGTGTTTTTCCGCTAACAAATTACACAGCATTGGGAAGTTTCTGCATGATTTAAAAAAAATAAACGGATTTAAGGTGAACTAGTGTTGTGGTGAGAATTTGTTCTGCTCTCTTCGGCAAGAGCCTTACCCTTGTCCAGGAGCTGTTGTGAAGTATCACTCTGCTGGTCCACATTACTAATTCAGCTAATTGCAGCAATTATGAGAAGGAATCGCTGCAAGCAAGAGAAGCTATTATGCTGTGCTGAATGAATAGCATTGCACAGTGTTCATTAATTATACTGCCTATAGATTCACAGCCCCCAACGGCTCATATGAGACCATGTTCCATATGCACTCAATCCCTTTCAAAGCAAGGAGAGTGTGGTGTTGGCTGGGCCCATCCAATGGCCATTCATGGCAAGCAATTCCTTTCCATCTTATTCCTCATCCAGAATTCAAAGTGGACAGCACTGTGATCTTCTGAAGTAGGATAGCCTTGAATCTCTGCAGCTATTTTGATGGCTGCAGCTTTATAGGAGAACCATACAAATAATACTGACCAGAGAAACGTCAGTAGCAATTAGAAGTGGCAATAAAAAACAAAGATTTAATGTATTTATTTCTTTATCTGCCTCTGTTTTCTCTCTTCCCTCTGCCCTTCCATGTTCTGTTAACATCAATAGCCCACATCAGATGACCTTGTTTCATCTGCTGAATGTTCAAGTGATGACGAAGACTTTGTCGAATGTGAACCAAGTACAGGTAGGTCAGGTCAGTCTTGTTTTGCTTGCTTCTTTTTTCATTTGCAAAAACCCCAATACATACATATATGTGATTGTTCATGTGCTTTATATATATTTTATAGTGTGTTAATGTGTGTGCATTTCCTATATCTATATATGTATCTGCATACATATATAAATATTAATTTACCACAATAGCATCAAATCCCATGGAAAGAGCGATTAAAGCTTAGGGAAATTTAAGTCTTTGATACCTAGAAAAACGCACAATATGCACCCTAACTTTGCACATTTGCATGCCCAGATTATGCACTGAAATCACTATCACAATTGTTCAGTTGCCAGTGGCAACTATGAGATTGACAGGGACAAAGAGCATGAGAAGCCCCCACTTGAATAAGGCCTTTTGTTTTTAAGCCATATACTTAGCATGGAGGCAAAATGATTGGTGGGTACCACATGAGTCACCAGACTTGTTGTGATCACAAGTGGCTTAAATAAATACATAACCTAAATTATTTTCCATGGGATTTCAGCAGCAGTTAACATGGTATTACATTTATACTAATTTTGTTCATTGTATGTCTAGAGAATTCGTGAAGTGATACAGTATAAGAAATACAAAATTAGTACCAAACTATGCCATGTTAACAGCTGTGATGCTTCAAAATGTATCGCCTGCTAAAGTTAAGCTGACTTTGGCATTGGCAGTCTCAGTGTGTTCCCCATTTGGACACAGATACATTTTGATATTTTCTGGTACTCCTGTATAGTGAGCTATATATGATATGGTGTCCAGCAGGTAACTGCCATCCCTGACTCTCTCCTCTCAACTTTCCCAAGTTGTCTGTTTTTAGATTTACTGTAAGCTAAACATTTATATGTATATAATAGAGAACAGATATCATCGAATTTCTGTGTATGTTTAATAAAAGTAAAAGCCTTGTCTTGTTTCTACAAAGGCTAAAAGAAATAGATAAAATTTCCACTTGATCCTTGGGTTGCTTTATTTTTTTCAACTTTTTAAAAAAGACAATCCACTGAATGTTTTCTCTTTGTAATTATTGAGAAATGTATGCTTCATGAGAAAAGTAATGTATCAAAGATTTAAAACTTCAATTTCTTACCCCAAAATGATTAAGCACAGTTCCGATTTTGGTAAATGCTGACTGCTTGGTTTCTTGCAAGTGGCTCTGGATTCAGGAAGTTCTGTGGCCCTCTGTCCTTAGTAACTTAAAGGTATCCATACATAACTTGGCCTTACCATTCTATAGTATAATTTGTCCTTTCAGGGGTTTAGCTCTATGAATGGAAAGTTAATGTGACTTTATTTATCATATTTTCTTTAAGTGATTTGGAAATAAACTTTGGCACCAAAGTTTTATTAAACATGAATCTATTTATTTCATTTACTTACTATATAATACCGACCATTTACGGACAACATGATGCATCACTATCTTCTAGTCTTTTCTGTTCTAATGCTTTTCAAAAGTGTATAGAGTAAAGTAAAGCAATACACCTTGCTACAAAAACCAATTCTCCGGTTTAACGCAATTCCACAAATTTGATTGAGGACACATGTGCATTTTGGGTGTGTATTTGATGCTAAGAACTCAATATATGTATGGTATACATCCAATTAGCAGTTTTCTTGATGACTAGTTTAAGATACCTAGACTTCAGTTAGGATCATTTGAATATTCTCTCTCTGGTTTTCTCTATTTTTTAGTAGTGATAACTGCATACAGAGCAATATTTATCAAATACCTCCATTTAACCCATTGAAATAAAAGCATAGCCATTTTGAATTACTTTGCCATCTTCCATCTTTCCTCTAATTATACCCTCTCAAAAATCATTTCCATAGCTCCCAGTAAAGGACTTTCCACATCTCAAAATCAAGGGGCCCATAGATCCCCAGACTGATAATAGTTACTGCCTTTTGAGGTTGAATTTGAACAGCCCAACTTTAATGGCTCCAAACTAAGTTCACTTGATCTTTAGTGATCACATGTATGTTTTTATTTTATTGCAATCCAGAGAAGGGAAATTCATTGACAATATTTTTGAATAATATGGAGAAGGGATGTTATACAAAATTTCTAAATTACTGTTATCTTCAAGAGAACACAGCAGATGCCGTCCAGTGTTGGTTCACGCCTTTAATCCCAGCACTCGGGAGGCAGAGGCAGGCGTATCTCTGTGAGTTCGAGGCCAGCCTGGTCTCCAGAGCAAGCGCCAGTATAAGCTCCAAAGCTACACAGAGAAACCCTGTCTCGAAAAAGCAAAAAAAGAAAGAGATAGAGAGAACACAGCAAAGAATACATTAATAAAGTTGAGGATAGATTTCTTCCTCTGTAAGAGCTAAGTGGACTGCTTAGTAGAAAATTGTATTGATCCTTTCTGCCTGGAATAATGTAACTCACCATGAAGGATAAACATGTCTTCTTTCTAATTTTGTTTTTTAACATTCCTTTTTTTTCTTTTTGGCCCCCAGACTGGGGAGAGAGAGGGAAATGGGATTGACATGTAAAACAATTTTGTTTCTCATTTAAATAAAAATGCAGAAAAAAAACAAAAACAAAAAAACCAAAAAAGCAAATTCTACCTTTCAAAATATTTATTTCTATTCCCCCCTGTCAGTCCGTCCCCCAGCCCCTGTCTTGAGAATTAAGCCTTTTTTGGACCCCTGTATTTTTCTGAATTCTTCCAACCACTCAGAACTGAGTATTTGAAAACTAAAATCATGTTAGAGTGTTGTAAATACCTTTATTCTCAGCACTTGGGAGGCAGAAGCAGATGGATCTCTGTGAGTTTGAGGCCAGCCTGATGTACAGAGCAAATTCCAGGATAGTCAGGGCTACACTCTGTCTCAAAAACCCCAAATAATTAATAATATTGATAATCATAATAATAATAATAATTCCAGACAACTTTTTGATTAACTGTTATCTATATAAATGTGCAAGCCAGGATTTTTAACTCCTAAACTATAAATGCTGAGGTATTATTTGCAAAGGTCAGTATTTAACATTTCTGACTTTTCATTGCACACAATTCTGTCCTTTAGGACTACAGTTGTGTTGAGGTGAGGTGCTCAGGATTCAATTCATCCTTAGGTAATGGGAGTCCTTCACGGATCACATAGTCAAAATGCAATTAAGACCTTTAATAAATTCATATTTGTAATAAAAATGTGGACATGGGTTTTGAAACACAGAGGATTTCATGAAATTGACTTTACATATCTTCACTTTCCCTCTTCGCTGTTGCTACTCTTCATAACAGACATGACATCAAATTAGAGATCTCCTTGGGTTGGCTTTTTTTGACATTAGATATGGGATTTGTATAAACTGGATTAACTTTCAAAAGTATTGGTGATCAGGTTGGCAGGCAGAAGTGAAATAACCAGAAATACCTGTGGCTCCAGAGAAGAGCCAGGTGAAACTTAACAACTATATTAATTCCTCCACCATTATTAAGAGGCTTGATTTTCTGATTGTCAATTTACTCGCCTTTGCTTTAGTTAAATGTCACCTGATCAACTCCCAGTTGGTACTTCCGCCAGAGGGCAGGAAGTTGAGAGGAAATATTCACCAATCAATCAATCAATCAATCAATCAATCAATCAATCAATCTGTCAGAAACTCCTTTTCTAGACTGCAGAAGTTTCTCAAGACCAAGGAGAACATTGAAAGAGATGATGGTACTAGGTGATAGATGACTGTTCCCAAAGTGGTTCTCAGCTGTATCTGTGCTCCTCAGATCTAACATCCCTGGGTTTGTCATTTGTGGCCTAGTTTCTGCATCTCACTTTTTCAGCCCCTGAAAGACACAAATAAGATTAAATGCAATTGAAACTTAGCATAACACAAGTAGCCCACTGTAGTTATGCCTTCTGACTGGATTAAATTAAAGGTCTTAATCTTATCTTATTTGAAATACTTCTGTGAGATATTTATAATAGGAAAACCTGATACTGAGTTGTCCCTAGCTCTACAAATCATTAGAGGTTTTATTTGCTGGAGCACAGTGGAAACCACAGCTAAAAGGATAAGACCATAATTTCCTAACAAAGTGTGAGGTACCATAGAGTCCAGACCCTACAGAGGATAAAAGTGCAAATGTGCTAGCCACTGAACATTAACTGTGATAGCTATAATCTGTTTTATATAAATATATTTTATAGTATTTGCAAGGTTGAGGAATACAAATTTAAATAATAAAGATATAGGAATTGATTGATAATTTTCTAGTAAGCAATCGCTCTTAGATGAAATACATAAAATGTATTATCTGTGCATTGCCTGCTATTTTGAATTCCATCACATAAGTACATTTAGTAACAAAATTTATAAATAAAAATATGTCTGTATTCAACTTTATTACCCAAGAATTAGGGTAGTGTTGAAGAAAAGGAAGCATAAAAATCAGTGAGTGCAAGCCCTTCTGTTTAAAAGTTGACAAGTCATTTATTTATACAACATTTTCATGAGCTTCTCTATGTAGACACTAGAAAAGGTGTTGGGAAAACAAAAGTGACACCAGATACCACCCAGTTCACAGTCTATTAGGAAATGCAAATATGGAAACAAGGAAACAAAGAGAAAGCAAAGAACAGAAGCCTAGAAACCATGTTGACAATGAGCAGAATTGTGGAGTTTATTATCCACATATTTGGGAGATTTCTCTGACACAATGAATTGTATACACCCCTCCAACTCTGGTTGAACTCACTCTAAGAAGCACACGTACCTTGGCTTAGAGACACTTTAGATAACTTTTCATTAATCTTGACTGTATTACTCAGTGCTAAAAATTTAATTTGAAGAATATTTGTGTAAGATGACCTAGAACCAAAGCATATCTGAAGGTCAGGATGCAGATGTCCATGTTAAAGAAAGAATATCCAAAAAAAAAAAAAAAAGCCGGGCATTGGTGGCACATGCCTTTAATCCCAGCACTCGGGAGGCAGAGACAGGAGGATCTCTGTGAATTCGAGGCCAGCCTGGT